GACAAGGTGTATTAATCTATATTTTTCTGAAAATACGATCAAGTGGCGTAAACGGATTCAAATGATTGCTTTACTAAGAATTAGATTGCTGGAAGAGAGATAAAGAATATATTCCTCAGTATACTTTATATTAACATCAAATTTTGATTCATCGAGCACATATTTCATCGATTTTTGGACCACAGAGACTTCATATAAAATAAAGGTATTATCTATATTTTTATGATAACATCCCTTTTGCTTGCGGATAAAAATGAAGCTGTCTTGGTGGAGATGTAATAAAGAATTATGTGCTTTGCTTCCCAAGTGAAATGAAATGAGCAAAGCTAGTTATTCCTCAACTCTAAACGCACAACTTTATCTACTGGTTGCTGGGACGAAGGATTATTTTATTCAATGGTAGCCTCTATTTAGGCCACATAACAAGCGAATTTCGTGGCAAAATGAAAGGAAGACTATGCTTCAGTAGAGGACGCTTTTTATATTATGTAAAGGAAACAGTGTGCAGCAAAAAGTGAAGCGAACTTACGGTAGAATGCAAAATTTGGAAGACGAAAGGCACATGGACAAGTTGCGTTTGGGTGCAATGAAGAGCGTAGGAAGGCCTGTTTTTATATATCGAGATCATTGCCTCAACAAACTTTTGATTGGAGTGCCGACGCATAGGGAATTCAACTTTAAAGGATGAAATGTTAAATGTTTTCGCTGACGACGGAGTGCACGAGGGGGATTTGAGGATGAGTTCTGACAATTTTAAAACACTCATATAGTTAGTAGTGTCTTCGAGAGTAAATACAAATACAGGCTATACTTATTGACTGTGATTCCGCAATAAGAGGGACTTATGAGAGGATTCTGTCAAGACTGTTCATCAAGAGCCAAAAGTTTCTATCATCTTATTTCAGATAAGTGAGCAGTCCTAAACTCATGTAATTTGAAGTATTCACAAGTTTCCCTGAATAATAGTGAGGGTCGTGAGCGGGCCTGCCTCAAATGAGTCAATTTTTCAGCATAATTCAAAAGTTTTCAACTAATATAATTAGATAGAATGTTAATTTTGACAGTTTTTTTGTCTTCCACAATAAAGACAGTGGCCTTTTGATGATTTATCAAAAGCGTTATTAGTAAAGCCTCACCAAAAATTTATTCAAACCCGTGGGTATACTGCAGATGGGGCTAAAATTCTATCTAAATTGAAGATAACTTTTGGAATGTTGGATTCATGATCGTTACATTGTAAGTTGTTTTGTTTTAGGCCAACTAAACGGTGAATAAGAACTGTATTCATCCCTGAACTGGTTGTAAATTTTTCCACAATGATATAGGTTGGCTTCATGTTTAGAATAAATTTAACATACAAAGCTCTGCAATTTAGGATGAATACAGCTTTTATTCAAGATAAACAGGTAGTTTCGAAGCTTACTCAATAGGAATACGGCCTAGTAACGGAAAAACATTGAATGGACAGTTGTACAAACCTCAGTAGATATAGGTACCAAGGTTTTTACAATAAGTCTCATTAGGGCTTACAACCTGCCTAATAAGGCTCACGGTTCAACTTGCCATCTCGTATATACCTTTCGTGGTTTATCACTCATCGTCCACATAGGCTCCTTGTTCATGATGTGTGGAGGATTGTCCTATCTGAGTGCAGCCAAAATCTTTCCCCATGACAAGTCGACTCTTATTGAAGTTACTTCTAGAACTGAGGAGAGAGGTCAAAATTGAAACAATCTGTGAATATTTTGAAGGCTCGTCCGTAGCGTAAAGCCAAGCTGAAATTTCTTGGTCAAAGTCGTCTGACGGTACTTTTACAACTTGGCCATGTTGTCAAGGCGACCTAGATGAACCCAGTTTTTCCGAATTTCTCTTCCACTATCCGACCGTGGTCTTGATACATTCTTAGACATTTAGCCGGCATCGTCTTTGAGGCTTGCCATTCTTAGCAGCATGTTGCAACTGGACAAAAAGACAAATTTTTTGTATGAGACAGCATTAAGTACACGACTGAATGCTGGAAAATAACATGACATTATAACAAAGGACGCGAGCATCTCAGCTGACCTGACAACACGACCAATTTGCGAAACGAGGCCAAATTTTTGCGACCAAAATAGAGACCACACAATTTCAGTCGTCATTTCGGGTATTTCTGCTTTTTCATCGTACCCTCGAGAGGTTGATGACTTTGGAAAGTGCGAAAATTTCGTGATCCACCAGCTCCCCAGCATATACTCATGTAAATTGGTCATTCCACATTTGCTATGTCTCTGCGGATGGTGGAGTTTTGGTTGAATTGTATCCAATTGGGACCTCTTTTCGGCCATTTGCACAGATATACCCTTGTCAGAAGGGGCCCCGCTTGCATCGAAGCGTTCAACCCCGTCTTTGGTGGCTACAGGAGTCGATCGCTTGCGCAATCAAGCCCCTGAATGTGTGCAGAATCTGATTTGATTCCATGACCCACCCTACTATGTGTGATCTATTGTCTAGCCTATGCTATTCCTCGCCTTCCCCCCCCCTCCTCTATTTACACATGTCCACAAATGTGCTTAAACAGACACGTTCGTTCGGGCTGAGACAACCAAAAAATTGGCATGCCTCCTCAAGCCTTAAGAAGCGGCAATAACTTTCAATTAGGCCATTAGTGACTACAAGCCAACTATTGTCCTGTTTATTTTGTCGACGATGTGCATAAACAATCCATTCCAGACTCTTGATTACAACTAATGGCGAGAATATCGACACTGGGCATGTGCACTAAACATGCACACCGGTACAACAGCACTCAGCTACAGATGCGGATGCCATTTGCGGACGAGCAGGCACATGTATACACCACAACTAAACACTTCGAAGTCTCGATCTACATGCCCGATTCACTTGGATACAGCACTGTGGTGATTGGACACCCCTTGCAAATCACTTGTTCACTGGCCTGATCGCCACTTTCGCCCGAGCTGGTTGCAAGCTTTCTCGAACAGTGTTTTCCTCCATCTCTATCTGTGTCTGTTCTTGATTTTGACCAAGTAACTACCTAAAAAGTGATTTCCCTTTCGCCCCTATTCCACTGTCCTCTGCCTGGCAGGCTAAATTTAGACCGGCCTTTCAAGACTCCATCAACGGCCAGACAATCGGACACCCGTTCATGATCCTGCTCTCAGACTCAGAGACACATGGATCATCAGACCTCCTAGTCGCAGCTCCCCTCTCCCGATGTCGTCGTTATCACCCAGACTACCGATCGCGCATCTGTCCTCACACTAGGATCAGGTGCAAGTACCAACCAGACCTATTTATTTGCTGGTCCACCTTCCGGCCGAACTAGTCTCTCGCCTACCCGCCCATCTTCTGTCTCGTATCGCGGGTCTCGAATGCCGGAGCACTCGTCAGGTCTCGTCCGCAGTCGTCGAGGCCATGGGCGCCATGAACGCCCCGAACTGCCCGTTCCAGCCGAGTACACGGTCGGCATATCCGCCTCGAGGCTGGTCTCGTTCAGTTGCCTCAAAAGTCTGATCCTCCTTGTCTGTCTGTCCTCCATTTGCTTCATTACCGCCCGTGGCGATGGACGCTCGGGTACAATCGGACCCCAACGTCTCCAGCCATCGACAGACACACGTCGGTTTGCTCGAGTCCAGCACCTCAATCCGACCGCACCGTTGGCCGGCGCCCCGGCGACCGCTTGTGCTCTCTTCCATGCGCTGCCCGGCGATCTGGCCGAGATCTGGCAAGTGTCTGCAGGCGGGGACCTTTTACGTCGGTTGGCTCGACTACCGGTAAACGGTAGCCTCAAGCAGGATGGTGAACCCTTACTCGGCCGTGCCGAGCCGGAACAACTGACCACTTGTCATGTGATACGTCCGAGGCCGGACGGCGAAAATGGAGAGGATATAGTCAGTCAGACCTTTGTCGTCAACGAGGGTCAGGACACTAGCTATCTGGGTCAACATATCAGTAAGTTTGTCAAATACTGCCTACATTTTCTTGTCCTGAACACCGGATGCCACTTTCCCTCTTTGTTGTCCACCTATTCTGCACCAATCGAGATTATACTTTGCGTCATCATCATCATCTCACAGTTTTGCCCGAGTAATAGTGACAA